CACACACGGTGACACACGGGGAAGCATGTACTCACACACAGAGACACGGGGAAGCGTGTACTCACACACACGGTGGCACACGGGGAAGCATGTACTCACACACAGAGACACAGGGAAGTGTGTACTCACACACACGGGGAAGTGTGTACTCACACACAGACACACAGGGAAGTGTGTACTCACACACAGACACACAGGGAAGTGTGTACTCACACACATGGAAGCCTGTACTCACACACGGACACGCATGTTTACCTTCTCTCTTGGGGGTCGAGGTCACAGAATGTAACACTGCTGATGGGATAGTGACGGCGGAAGAATAGCCTGGAACAGTAAGAAATGCCATTTTATGAGTGCGAGGTCAGTACCGGGGGTGGGGGGTTGGAGGGGGGTGGGGAGGTTGGAGGGGGGGGGAGGTTGGAGGGGGGCGTGTGGTGACATCTAGCCTATCCAGGGCAGGGCAAACACAGAGTTTCAGCACAACCTCCCTGAGTATCTATCCTCATAGAATCCCCACAGAGTGGAAACAAACCATTCGGCCTGACAAGTCCACACTGACCCTCCAGGGAGCATCCCACCCAGGCCCATCCCTGTAGCTGCGCCCAATCCACCCTAACCTGCACATCTTTGGACTGTGGGAGGAAACCGGAGCACCCGGAGGAAACCCACGCAGACACGGGGAGAATGTGCAAACTCCACACAGACAGTTGCCCGAGGGTGGGATCGAACCCAGGTCCCTGGCGCTGTGAGGCTACAGTGCTAACCACTGAGCCACCGTGCTGCCGTTATTGCTTTTTTATTGTTTTATTTTAATGATCTTTCTGCAGGGGAGTGGGGCTGGAGTTTTGGAGTTATGGTGGGGGAGTGTAAGGGTCCATCAGATCAGACAGCGAGAGGCTGGAAGGGCAGCGGTGTTCACTCAGTTTGATGTCTGACCCTGACTGGACAGTGGGAACAGAAACAAGGTGCTGGAGTCCACCATTCGGCCAATTGATCTTAATCTGACCCTTCAACAAGCCCATGGCTGATCCTCGAACTCAGTGTCATATTCCTGCTCTCTCTCCAAACCACCCTGACACTGTTAACGTCGAGAAATCAGTTTCTTCTTCAAACACCCTCGGTGACCCAGCTCCCACAGCCACAAATGGTCTGAAAACTGCTCTGTCCGATGATGCAGTGACACTGAGAGCTTTAATGAGAATCCCATGGGAATAGGGCCTGAGGAATGACACAGTCAGGACAGTGTCACTATCAGTGGGTCACCGTGCTGGGAATCCCAGCCCCGAGGGAGGGGTCTGCCTCACTATCTCCGCTTCAGGTTATCACAGCCAGGAGCATAAATAATTAATTCGCACAGTTTCCACAACACGCTTCATAGCACCGGCTGGAGGGAGGAATCGAGGTAAACAAGAGGGTAACATAATTCACTCAGTCTCTCCCACTGAGACCCACACACTCACTCACACACTCACTCACTCACACACACACACACACTCACTCATACACACTCACTCACACTCACACACTCACTCACTCACACTCACTCACACTCACTCACACTCACACACTCACTCATACACACTCACACTCACTCACACACTCACACACACACTCACTCACTCATACACACACTCACACTCACACTCACTCACACACTCACTCACACTCACTCACACTCACACACTCATACACACTCACTCACACTCACACTCACTCACTCACACACTCACTCACACTCACTCACACTCACTCACACACACTCACACACTCACTCACACTCACTCTCACACTCAGTCACACTCACTCACACACACACACTCACTCACTCACACTCACACACACTCACTCACTCACTCACACTCACACACACTCACTCACTCACTCACACTCACACACACTCACTCACTCACACACACTCACTCACTCACACTCACTCACACACTCACACACTCACTCACTCATACACACTCACTCACACACACACTCACTCACACACACACTCACTCTCACACACTCACGCACTCACTCACACACTCACTCACACACTCACTCACTCACACTCACTCACACACACACACTCACACACTCGCTCACACTCACACACTCGCTCACACTCACTCACACACACTCACACACACACACACACTCACACACTCGCTCACACTCACACTCACTCACACGCACTCACACACTCACTCACACTCACACTCACTCACTCACACTCACTTACACACACTCACTCACACACACACACACTCACACACTCGCTCACACTCACACTCACTCACTCACTCACACACACACTCACACTCACTCACACGCACTCACACACTCACTCTCACTCACACACTCACTCACTCATTCTCTCAGTCACCCACTCACTCACTCACACTCTCTCACTCACTCCCTCCCTCCCTCCGTCCCTTACTCCCTCCCTCCCTTACTCCCTCCCTCTCAGGTTGAGGTTAGCTGACAGTTACACGCGGACAGAGCTGAGGTTTCTTACTTCCTCTGGTTGTCAGTCAGGGTGATTCCCTGAGAGGACACTTTGAAATGGACGACTGTAGCGACAGGCTGTGCGGGGGCTCCCAGCGTTTCCGAGATGGCCTTGGCAATGGCCTGGGGTCCAGTCAGTGACTCCATGTCCACAGAATTCACAAACAGCACATTACACGCTGTCACAGGAGAGACACACACACACAGAGACAGATCAGTTCACAAAACACAGCGCCGATGGGCCATCAATCCATTTGGGGTCCACGACTGAGCTCAGGACTGTTCCTGGAGATCAGGGGCCTGTTCCCAGAGAGCAGGCAGCAGTCAGATCCCAGTGTCACAGCCTAGTGACCCCCTCTAACTGACAGGGCACCACCCCAGCCCCCTCCACCCCCGCCACCCCCAGATAGTTATTGGCACAGGCTCCTGGTTTCAGCCTGATTGGGTTTGAAGGCCTCAATGGGCCAGGAGCCTGTATGACCGAATCCATCAGAGCAGCTCCCATAGAGACAGGCTCTTCATTGGAGAGAGCCCACAGGGTCTGGTCTCCAATTGGATTGGCTCAGTCGGAACGTCACGACCTTTCGGCACTGAGAGCTGGGATCACAGATGGAGGCTGGTGAGGTCTTCCTCCCCACGGGGAGGCTGCTCCAGCTACCCCCTGGCTTTGAGAGATGGACATTACTGACCCAGGATTGTACCCAGACTCCGCTCCCTGGTGTGTCTCCAACAGCACCAGCCCAAGGCCTTCGATCATGTGTCTCCCACCAGCTGGTCAACATTCCTGCCTTTTCCAAGGTCCCCTGGTCCCTGTCACCCCCAGCAATGACCCTTGGGACAACAAGGAAGCAGTGACCCCTCTCGGATCGTGACGCTACACACTGATCCCCATGATGCCCTAGATTGGTTAATGGGCAGAAATACATCCTTCAGTATCAGTGACAGGCTTTTCACCTGTTAGAGGTTTCACAGCAATATACAAACAGATGTCTCAGACATTAGAGTTGAGATTTCTCTGCACCTCCTCTGTAGCTGTGAGACAACATTCTTCATTCTGTCCTATTACCCTGATGTAAGGTATGATTTGTCTGGTTCGCATGCAAAACAATACTTTTCACTGTATCTCAGTACACGTGACAATAAGAAATCAAATCAAATCAAAGCCAGATCCTGATCTGCCTGAGTGCAGCGACTATGGGCAGGTGTCTGAGAGGGTGTCCCTGATCCTGGGAGCGTCTCACTCTGACCTGCTGGAAACGCTGTTGATCCAGGATAGAAAGGGAAAGAGTTTCAGTCCTGACCTGCACCCTGTTTCAGCAGCTCCATTGGAGAGTTTGATGACACAGCTGGTTCAGGGGTTTTATCCACTGGATCTGAAAGAAAGAATTTACACTTCCACAGAACTGTTTACAATTCCAGGACATCCTCAATACTTAACAACCCCAATAAAATCCACCTGAACAATTAATTCCACTCAAAATTGAGCTTGACTTTCTGAAGGTCACAGTTAATGGAAACAATTTTAAGATAGTCATAGAGTCATATAGTACAGAAACTGACCCTCGGCCCAACTCATCCTCGCTGAACATGTTTCCCAAACTGAACTCGTTGCATTTGCCTGTGTTTGGCCCATATCCTTTCAAACCTTTCCTATTCACGTAGCTGTCCAAATGTCTTTTAAATGTTGTACTGTACCTGCAGCTACCACTTCCTCTGGCAGCTCATCCTATACACACACCACCCTCTGTGTATAAAGGTTGTCCCTCAGGTCCCTTATAAATCTTTCTCCTCTCACCTGAAACCTATTCCCACTACTCTCGAATTCCCCTACTCTAGGGAAAAGGCCTTGGCTTTAGCCCCTCATGATTTTATAAACCTCAATAAGGTCACCCCTCAACCTCCTACGGCCCAGTGAACAAAGTCCCAACCTATCCATCCTCTCCTTAGAACTCAAACCCTCCAGTCCCAGCAACATTCTAGTAAATCTTTTCTGAATGCTCTCCAGCTTAATAATATCTTTCCGACAGCGGGGCAAGCAGACACAGTACTCCAGAAAAGGCCTCACCAATGTCCTGTACAACATCAACATGATGTCCCAATTCCTACACTCAGAAGTCTGAGCAATGAAGGCAAGTGTGCCAAACGCCTTTTTAACCACCCTGTCTACCTGTGACGCAACTATCAAAGAACTATGTACCTGGACCCTCGGTCTCCCTGTTCTACAACACTGCCCAGAGCCCTACCCTTAACTGTATAAATCCTGCCCTTGATAGTAGGAGCTGCCAATGCTGGAGAATCTGAGATAACAAGGTGTAGAGCTGGAGGAACACAGCAGGCCAAACAGCATCAGAGGACCAGGAAAGCTGACGTTTTCTGAAGAAGGGTCTAGGCCCTAAACATCAGCTTTCCTGCCCCTCTGATGCTGCTTGGCCTGCTGTGTTCATCCAGCTCTACACCTTGTTATCTTAAATCCTGTCCTTGTTCGTTTTACCAAAATACAACACCCCACCTTTATCCAAATTAAACTCCATCTGCAACTCCTCAGCCCATTGGCCCAATTGATCAAGATCTCTTTGTAATCTTAGATAACCGTCTTCATTGTTGATTATTCAACCAGTTTTGCTGTCATCTGCAAACTTACTAACCATTCCTCCTAAATTCTCATCCAAACCATTTATATCAATGACAAACAAAAGCGAACCCAGAACTGATCCCTGCAGCATACCACTAGTCACAGGCCTCCAGTCTGAAAAACAATCCTCCACCATCACTCTCTGCCTCCTATCATCAGGCCACATCGTACATTTCTAAAGGGATCAAAGTCAAAGCGAGAATCACCAAATTGGTGCATTGCAGAAGGAGGCTATTTGGCCCTTTATGCCTATAGTTATTCCCCAGTGCCAACCTCCTGCCTTTTCCCATTATCCCAGCACACCATTTCTATCCAATCAACCATCCAATGCCTTCATTGAACCTGCCTTCACCACATTTCCAGGTCGAGGAATTCTTCCAATCCCCTACCACTCACTGGGTGAAAAGATTTCTCTCACACTGTCCTTGCTTCGTTTGCACCTCACTCTAACCCCACGTCCCTATCATTCTTGGAAAAAACAGAGTTAGTGTTTCGGGTCCGGTGACCCTTCTTCACAACTGATGGTGGCTGGAAAAATGTCGGTTGATATGCAGAAAATAGGGAGGGAGTTAACGTAGTCATTAACAGTCCCCATTAACAACTATTCACCCTCCCAGCCTGATCGTTAGCAACTCCTTTGTCTGTCCAACTGTCTTTCTCTCTCTTTGGGCTCTATCCTATTGCTTATTCCCTACCCCACCCACCTCCCTATTTTCTGCATATAAACTGACATTTTCCCAGCCACCATCAGTTCTGAGGAAGGGTCACCGGACCCAAAACGTTAACTCTGTTTTCTCCTTCACAGATGCTGCCAGACCTGCTGGGCTTTTCCAGCAACTTTGTTTTTGTTCATCGTATGTACCCAATCCAGCTCACTCAGGATTTTGAAATTCTTCATGACTTTGAGAGTTAGGCTCCTTTGGACATTTTTAAACCAGAAAATAAACAATTTGGGGTGTAGTACTTTGGTAAAATTTTCAACACAGTACACTGCTAGGTGAAATAACTTGCTAAATAGAATACATCACAAATGATAAAAGAACAGATTTGACAATATCCCCGATACAGCACTGTATTTTACTCATGGCAGGGGCACAGTTGCAGAATAATTTTGAATCAGCTGGTTCAGAATTGTTATGGCACACCCCTGGAGGAGGTGGGAATCAAACACAGGCCTCCTGGCTCAGAATTAGGCTTGGGCTGACAAGTGTCAACTAATATTTGTGCCACACAAATGCCAGGCAAGGACCATCTCCAATAAGACACAATCTAACCTTCACATGGTGTTACCATCACTGAATCCCCCACTATCAACATCCTGGGGGTTATCATTGACCAGAAACTCAACTGGACTCATCACATAAACACAGCGGCTATAACAGCAGCTCAGACACGAGGAATACAGCAGTAAGTAACTCCCCTCCTGACTCCCCAAAGCCTGTCCACCATCTACAAGGCACAAGTCAGGAGTGTGATGGAATACTCCCCACTTGCCTGGATGAGTGCAGCTCCAACAACACTCAAGAAGCTCCACACCATCCAGGACAAAGCAGCCGCTTGATTGGCACCACGTCCACAAACATCCCACTCCCTCCACCACCGACGCTCAGTAACAGCAGTGTGTACTATCTACAAGATGCACTGCAGAAATTCACCAAAGACCCTCAGGCAGCACCTTCCAAACCCATGACCACTTCCATCTAGAAGGACAAGGGCAGCAGATACATGGGAACACCACCCCCTGCAAGTTCCCCTCCAAGCCACTCACCATCCTGACTTGGAAATATATCGCCATTCCTTACTTGCCACTTGTCAGCCCAAGCCTGGATATGGCCCAGATCTTGTTGCATTTGAACATGGACTGCTTCAGTATCTGAGGAGTCACGAATGGTGCTGAACATTGTACAATCATCGGCGAACATTCCCACTTCTGACCTTATGATGGAGGGAAGGTCATTGATGAAGCAGCTGAAGATGGTTGGGCCTAGGACACTACCCTGAGGTCCTCCTGCAGAGATGTCCTGGAGCTGAGATGACTGACCTCCCACAACCACGACCATCTTCCTATGTGCCAGGTATGACTCCAACCACCGGAGCGTTTGCCCCCTGATACCCATTGATTCCAGTTTTGCCAGGGCTCCTTGATGCCAAATTAGGTCGAATGCAGCCTTGATATCAAGGGCTGGAGTCCTGAAGAAGGGTAATACCCGAAACATTGATTGCTCCTTTCCTCAAGATGCTGCCTGGCCTGCGGTGTTCTTCCAACCTCCTATTTATCTATCTGAGCGACACTGAGCAGGTTATTGCTGAGCAGGTGCTGCTTGATAGCGCTGTTACTGACACCTTCCATCACTTTACTGATGATCGAGAGGAGACTGATGCGCGGTAACTGGCCGGGTTGGATTTGTCCTGCTTTTTGTGTACAGGACATACCTGGGCAATTTTCCACATTGTCGGGTAGATGCCAGTGTTGTAACTGTACTGGAACAGCCTGGCTAGGGGAGCGGCAAGGTCTGGAGCACAAGTCTTCAGTACTGTTGCCGGAATGTTGTCAGGGCCCGTAGCCTTTGCAGTATCCAGTGTCTCCAACCTTTTTTTGATGTCACGTGAAGTGAATCGAATTACCTGAACACTGGTATCTGTAATGCTGGGGATCACTGGAGGAGGCCGAGATGGATTATCCACTCGGCACTTCTGGCTGAAGATTGCTGCGAATGCTTCAGCCTTATCTTTTGCACTGATGTGCTAGGCTCTTCCATCATTGAGGATGGGGATATTTGTGGAGCCTCCTCCTCCAGTGAGTTGTTTAATTGTCCTCCGCCATTATTTTCTTTCTTTATCCTCTTCATAGCTTTTCTTTCCTTCCCCACCCCCACGCTCTTCTGCCCGACCAGGAGACTGCAGTTGAAGAGTGGAGCGAGAATGGGCCCAGTCCCGGGGCACAGTGAATGGGCCTAGTCCCGGGGCACAGTGAATG